CATTGAAAATGTTAAAAATGTTATTTTGTGGAAAAAAGTGAGTTACAACCGTTTTGCGCTAAGCCCACGATTTGTTTATCGGCTGTAAAAGGAATTGAAATACATGAGAGGATTTAATCATGATTTTTCGGATGTGACAGTTTAATTATTTTGACAAAAGGTATTTATTTTTTAGTTTTGTTCATAAATATGTCAAAAAATATGTAAATACAAGCTGTCTTCATTGTTTTTCGTTCCGCCCGATTTTCTGGCGGAACATGCTATGGGTTTTTGAGCAATTTCGATATGACGTTGCTTTGCCCAGAAGCAAAAATATCTCAAAGCGACGTCATATTTATAGGACTATACAAAGTACATGATATTGCCAAGTTATATAACTGTGTCATCCATATTTCCCAGTTATTTCCATTTTTTCACTTTGAAAATAGGGCCTTGTCTGGTTAACCTATTTCGGCAAGTTGGATTTATCTTAAATTTCTCCTAATTGCTTAATTTCTTTAATGATATCATTCATATTTAGTAGGTGGATACCATTGATGGTCCTCTAATTTTTTGTGGAGTAAGCGGTCTCTAGGGTCAAGGTCAAGGTCACTGGTTTAAAAAATAAATATAAACATTTTTGCTCATACAGCCTTTATTTTTTAGTTGATGTCTTAGTTTAATACAAACATGCCAAGGTAGGTCCTCCTTCTTTGGGTGTAGTAAGGGGTCATTTGGGTCAAGGTCAATGTTACCAATGTCAAGGTTACCAATGTTAAAAATTGATTTTTACAGGTGTATTGACCTTATTCTATAGACAGATGTTTATTCAATTTATAATTGATAGAAACATAAACTTTGATTGAGTTAGTGGTCAGTTAGGTCAAGGTCACCAGTGCTAAAAATAGATTTTTACACATTTGCTCATACAGCCTTTATTAAGTGACAGATATATTTTATATTTGGTAGGAAGATAACTTGCATGGTATTCATCCTTTTGATTGGGGTAGGGATCAGTGGGTCAAGGTCACTTGTGCTAAAAATAGATTTTTACACTTTTGCGCATACAGCTTTTATTTATTGACAGATGTATTTCATATTTGGTAGGAAGATAACTTGCATGGTATTCTTCCTTTGGATGGAGTAAGTGGTCAGTTGGGTCAAGGTCACCAGTGCTAAAAATAGATTTTTACACTTTTGCCCATACAGCCTTTATTTATTGACAGATGTATTTCATATTTGGTAGGAAGATAACTTACATGGTATTCTTCTTTTGGATAGAGTTAGGGGTCAGTTTGGTCAAGGTCACCAGTGCTCAAAATAGATTTTTACACTTTTGCCCATACAGCCTTTATTTAATGACAGATGTATTTCATATTTGGTAGGAAGATAACTTGCATGAAGTTGAATATTTTTCAACTTCACAAGTCAGAGCAATGACTTGGCAACTTATATTTTTCACAATTACAAAATGCCATGACTTTGTCAAGCTATATAATTTGTGTTTACAATTTTTTGGCAATTTTTCGGTCCATAACTGAGTGAATGGGTAAACATTTTTTTAAATATTGCTACTGACAAGAATCTGAGCCGGGGGCATTTGTGTTTTACAAACACGTTCTTGTTTATTACTGTACTTGCATCTGATCAAGCCAAGGCAAGTTGTTTCAAATGAGATATCCTCACATTGTGTACCTCCCTTGGCAGCATTGAACTGATAATGGGAGATCTCTGCGTAGGAGATAATGATTGATATTATTATATGACTGTACATAGTACTAATGTAGAATTAAAGTATTTTTAGAAGAAATTTGTTTCGTTCCTTCCTGCAGATTGGTTAAAAATTAGTTTTGATGCTTTTTGTTTTTAAAGTAATCTTCGATAGAATATAAAATAAAAATGTGTTTACTTATTATATAAAATAATTTTAATGTTCTTTATCTTATATACATAAAACATGTAATGCATTTATTAACATGCAATGTCATACATGCCATAATTTTTGGACAGCTTTCCGGGACACTTTTCATCGCGGCAATAATGGATGTGGAGGCAGTTGTGGAAAAGTAGGGAGGGGGTGTGTCAATCGTATAACGTTATTAAATTAGGACGACTTTCTCCTGAATTTTAATGATAAACAGTTAACTTACTAGTTTTAGAAGTTGTCTTTTAAGTCGACATCTTTATCATTTTATAGTATTTCTTTATTTCATTTATTATTCCCTAAAAGCAAGTAAGTTGTAAGTTATAAACCCGTTTAATGGGCACAGCCATGTTGTTCACCCGATATATCTTAAAGTCGTGATAATTACTACATGTCACGTAACGCAATTCTTCCAGTCATCAAAACAAACACAGCAAGGTAATTTATTTGACATCTTTAATTTTTTATTTGATGAATATATTTACATTGTTTGTAATAATTAGACTTTCGGCAAGTTAGCAATTGATCTAAAAATTAATGATTATCGGGTATTAACGATGATTGTTAAGGGCCGTAAACCATTAATTAACCCGACCATTAAACGCTGCCAAATTCAACAGAGTACGTTAATTGCCGATGCATGAAGAAAGCTATTGCCGAGGGGAATCGATAGTCGATAATTGGGGGGCTGTATATTGTAAACTTGTTAGTGTCAACGTTCCTGTGTATTATATGTACCAGGTCAGAATATGTTTTACGTTCGAGAGGTGAAATGTGGAGATTGATTTAAGAAAATTTTGCAAAATATCATTATTTTTTTTTTTCGGGATCAAATCGATGCCCGGGACATCTCCTGAACAGACGTCCGATTTCCGGGACAATCCAGGGCATCCGGGACGTTATGGCATATATGTGCAATGCATTTTGCATTGTCACAAGGATGGATTATAATAAGGTTTTATTACCCAAATCATTGAAAACTCTTTCATTACCAAAAAATGTAATAATAATTTATGAAAAAATCTTTCCACGTTTGTAAATAAGTCCATATATCAATTATGTGGTTCCAACAATAAGATGATAAAAGAAGCAAATATATTAATAAATAGAAAAGTGGGCTGAGTTGACCCGTGCCAAGTTGGAATAGGGCCGAGCTGACTCGGGGGCCCGAGTACGTTTTAGGGCCGAGCTGACCCTGCTTCGTATGAACAGCCAACTGATGAAGTTAGGTTAATTAAGATAGAGAATAATAGGAAATGCCCAAGGGCGCAAGGTTCATTGTGTAAATTTAAATATTTATAATATTGCAAACGAATTTCAAAGATCTTGAAATAGTTTTTTTACGTTAAATTTTTAGTGTCCATATTTTTTACCAATGTCTCATATTTACAAGGAACATACCTAAACTGGTCCTTAAAGTTTGGATGGAGTTTGGGGTAACTGGGTTCAAGGTCTTACATTTATTATGCTCTCCGAAAAATTTCGGGGGAGCATATAGTCGTCGGGTTGTCCGTCCGCACTACCAAATAAGGATAGGGGGCCATCTAACTGTAAACAGAACAAAAGAGAACAATAGAATTCATTCCATAACAATAGAATAAGGGGCCATTGGCCCTCTATTAAACAATAGAAAATAACAAAAGAAATGGCCCCTTATTCCATTTCGGCCGGACGTCCGTCCGTCAGTATGTACGTCCCCAATTCGTGTCCGGCCCATAACTTTGTTATTTGAAGTCGGATTTTAAAACTATTTCACAGAAATGATCACCATATTTAGATGATGTGTCGCGCGCAACATTTGGGTCGCTACCTTGAAGGTCAAGGTCACAGCATGACCTTGAAGCAAAATAGTGACCTTGTAGGTAAAAACGGTTTCCGATCAATAACTAAAGAACGCTTAGGCCTAGGAACTTCAAACTTGGTATGGTGATTGGTCATGACCAGCAGATGACCCCTGTTGATTTTGGGGTCAAGTGGTCAAAGGTCAAGGTCACATTGACCTTGTAGGTAAAAACGGTTTCCGATCCATCACTAAAGAACACTTAGGCCTCGGAACTTCAAACTTGGTATGGTGATTGGTCATGACCAGCAGATGACCCCTATTGATTTTGGGGTCAAGGGGTCAAAGGTCAAGGTCACATTGACCTTGTAGGTAAAAACGGTTTCCGATCAATAACTAAAGAATGCTTAGGCCTAGGAACTTCAAACTTGGTATGGTGATTGGTCATTGGAGCATATAGTTGTCGGGTTGTACGTCCGTTAGTCCGTCCGTATGTACGTCCCAAATTCGTGTCCGGCCCATAACTTTGTTATTTGAAGTCGGATTTTAAAACTATTTCACAGAAATGATCACCATATTTAGACAATGTGTCGCGCGCAACATTTGGGTCGCTACCTTGAATGTCAAGGTCACAGCATGACCTTGCAGCAAAATCCTGTCGGGCCCATAACTTCGTTACTTGAAGTCGGATTTAACAACTATTTCACAGAGATAATTACCATATTGAATCGACGTGTCGCGTGCAACATTTAGGTCTCAACCTTGAAGGTCAAGGTCACAGCATGACCTTGCAGCAAAATCATGTCTGGCCCATAACTTTGTTATTTGAAGTCAGATTTTACAACTATTTCACAGAAATGATCACCATATTGAGACAATGTGTCGTGCACAACATTTGGGTTGTTTTTACACTTTGAACTTTGTCTGTGACATAACTCTGACATTACAAGAGGTATACCTTCCTGTGTCCAAAACCTATTCGGGGAGCATCACCCGGTTCAACTGGCTCTTGTTTATATCTGATATAGTTTTTATTGGTAAGTTGAATATTTTTCAACTTCATCACAAGTCATAGTAGTGACTTGGCAACTTACATTTTTCACAATTACATAATGCCATGACTTTGTCAAGGTATTAAACTGTGTTTACAAATTTTTTGGCAGTTATTCTGTCCATAAGTGAGTTCAAAAGAATCTGAGTGGGGGGGGGGGGGGGGCACTTGTGTTTAACAAACACATTTTTGTTTACAGTAATAATTTACAGCAATCTAAAGCAAAATTTGTTGATTTAATTCCATATATTTTGCCTATATTTCAGTATATGCAATTGGAAATGGTCAACATAAAGAGAACAACATACACATGCAGTGAGCATAACATAAGATACTTAAATTGGCCAAATAGGCAGCAACGGATATTTTACTCAACATGTTCATTTGTATTTACTAGAATATTTTAGGCTCAGTTAACTATTTTAAATGTGGACTGATCTATATAAATTCATGAACAAAATATATGTACAATTGAATCAATCAATGGATATAATGATACAGTTTCAATAAAAAAAATGGAAAATCTTTACAAAATACTGCAATGTCCCGAGACTGCCTCTGTGACAGAATTAAAAAAGGCTTATCAGGCTCTTGCTTTAAAATATCATCCAGACAAAGCAACATCCAGTGCATCCAATCAGGAAACATTCATTAAAATAAATCATGCTTGGACAATATTACGAGATCACAGGTTGCGTGAACAGTATGATGTCAAATGGAAGGAGAGATGTCTGGCACAGACTTATCCTATTCAGGATACAGTACATTTTGAGGAATTTGAAAAGGATGAGGAATATGATGTAGAAAATGGTGAAACTACAACATCTTCCTTAGACAAAAGTCATGATAAAGCATGTGTGGGAAAGGAAAGTGATTGTGACAAGACCTTTTTAGTAAAGGGAGATAATTGTGGTGAAACATGCTTAACTAAGGGAACTGGTGATGTACCAATTTTTGATATAAACAATGGCATTGGACAAGTTCAGGATGTTTGTGCAGAAAATACAACAAAGGGAGAGAATGAAGTAAATTTAACAGTAGAAAATGAAACAGGAAAATCAGAATCATCTCCCCTTGCTAATGAAAATGTTGTTTATACATATGAGTGTAGATGTGGTGGAAACTATATTCTGACTGGGGTTGATGTTAAGTTAAAGTTTGATATTGTATGTTGTGATACTTGTTCCCTGTCAATTCAGGTTATTTATAATGAGGATGATCCACAATAATTCCTATACATAATATCGATATACAATGCTGTACCAATTTTATATTGAAAAAAAATGTATAAAATGATCAAGTGTTATAATAATTTTAATGACCATCTTTGTTAATATGACATTATGATTATCAGGAACTCAGATCAAAATTCTTTTAATTTAAGACCTTTTGTTAGAAAGGTATTTTTCAATTTCTATTCTTGTCAATCAAAAAAAAGAGCAATGTGACAGTTCAAGCAATGAAATGATAGATTATGTTGTCAGGCAAAATTCTGGTTAATATTCTATGCTTGAAATTTTCAGTGTAATAATAATTTGTTAAGAAAGGAGAAATCTTTTAAAGGTGTAGAAATTTAAAGTCTTTAATGTAATCAATAAAGTTTTCTGTTTCTGAAAGCATAATTTTTTTTATATTTATGTCACATTGAAACTGTAATCATTATACATATATGGCCTTTTTCCACAGCTAGAAGGAAACTGCAATCCCCACTTTGATACATTATTTCAAATACAAGCAAATACCCTGGTATACCCATTGACTGTTGGTAAACTAAATGGATATATTTTCAATCACAATTCAAACCCACAATGGTGATATTATTGAAAGTTATTGTCAATAACTGACAGTTTTTCAGTACATTTATCATATATCTACTTGTATTCTAAAAATAAAATGTTTAAATTTCAATGTGGCAGCTAGCCCAAAGTGTGCAGTAAATAGATCATAATTAGGCTGTATTATAAAATATGATTTAAAGTATATCATAATTTATAATAATTTTATTAACAATTTAAATATTTTATCCTCTTATCTGATCTAAGAAAAAACTGTTCTGGTTTGACTAACCAGGGATGTTTGGAAGAATTTAATTTCAGGGGAGGGGGGGGGGGGTAATAATATTTAAATAAGTTGGCAGGGCAAAGAGTTATGCAAATTTTCAGTTTGAAGGAGTGTAGCTTGGCCAAAATTGATAGTATGCACAATTACTGGGGCGTTGAAGGGGGCAGTGTTGCACCCCATCATAAATCAAAGGTAATGGGCCCAGAAGCTCCATGATTTTCATCATATGATGCTTTAAAATTTACATGGCAATTTAAAGTCACAAAAAAAGGTCAAAAGCACCTCATACTTGAATAATTTAATGCTATTTTATTAAATGGTATTTCATTGTTTTCTATGGTCAGGAGTGCCCCACTCCAATCTCCCTTCTGAATCTGTTAGTGCTAGCAGTAAGTTGTTACCTTAGTGCAGCAACAGGTTAACTCCTGTAATTTAATAGAAATTAACCTGTTACTGCAATAAGGTCACAAGTTGTTTTTTGTGTTTGTTTCGTTTATTCTTTTACATACTTGGGTTGGGGTGAAGGGTGAGTTTTGCTTATGCATTATTCAATATCAAAATAAGAAGATTGTATGAATTATATATATTGTACATTTATAATAGACATTATCCCGAACTCAGCAAATGCAGGTTTTTCCCAGTTTATTTGAAGGTACATACAAACTTTTACCATTGTAGCTTCACTACCAGACACAATAGTCAACTTTTTGCATCTGTTTTAAAAGCTTTAACTGTAAAAAACCCAAATATTTTTAATTCTGGAGTTTATCAATTATATAAGTTACATAAAACATGTATTGTACATTAATATGAAAGATTATACTGGTAGTCAGTGTAAAGGTAAGCAGTGACCTAGGGGTCAAAGTGTCTACTGGGGTTACTTTATGTTTCCTCATATCACACCAGTACTGGTTAGTTCCAGGATTTATTGAGCTTGAAAGTAGTTTAGTTGGATTAAAAGCCATCACACTTAAGCCAAATAACAAAAAAGTTTTAAAAAAAATTACAAATGAATGACTGAAATTTGAAAGATATCAAAAAAATGGTAAGAATATTAAAGGTCACATCAACTTATTTCAGGTTATTAACTTATTTATCATTTAGCAATTAACCAGGTAAATTACTTGTGGTAGAAGTATTTTGGGCCTGTCTTTACATTCTAATAAGTATTTGAATTACAACTACCTGGTTCATTATATACAGTGAAACCTTGAAGAACACCTACCATGAGAGACAGTCATGTTGGCTAAGGTGTTGAATTTTCCTGATTCCTATCTATATTGCGAGACACCCCTGTGGGGTCTAATTCTGTTACTGTCCAGGGTGTTAATTTTTTTTGAAGAAAATAAATGCAAATGGCTTGTTATTATAATTATCATAATAATTACATAATAATGATAAATACTTTATTTAAAGAGGCAACACAGTTAGACATGCCCAGTCTTCCCTCATTAATAAACTACTTAATATATATATGATATATATATTTATAAAGGGAGATAATTAAATTTAATACAGTTGTACTGTAGTGCAGTTTGTGACAGTATATAAAGCTGTTCTGAAACCATCATTTTGTGAAGCCGTCCGGTTAGCTCAATAGGTAAGAGCGTTGGACTGTGAATTTGGCGACCTGGGTTCGTTATGATTGATCATGAAATTCTTTCTACGGTCATTTACATTGTACCTCTGCTCTGGCATGTACAGAAGTTTCAGTTCCTTATGAAAGTGAAGGCAACTAGTACTGGTAAACTGCAGGAACGATGCGGTGGTTGAACTGTGCTCTGGTGAATTCAGTGTGGCTAACTGTCGTGATCTGGAGTGGTGACTACTGTGTGTATTAATTCTCTCATTTCTATATACAAAACAACATACAAATATATACAAAACAACATACAAATATATACAAATCAACATACAAAAGCAATTCAAAAATAGAGTATAATATAATATAAGCATTTAAGTATGCAATGTGACAGGTGTGTAATTTTGTTGCTATATGATTGTATGGAATCAATTGTCTAAAAGAGTGAGTAAAAATCACCTGTTAACAATAACCACCTGTTAATTAAAGCCATATAAATGTATAGATTGATTACTGAAATTTTAATGTGCATGAAACATCTATATTGGATTAAGAGGAAATTTGTTATACAGAAGTTTAACTGTATTATGTACATGTTTAGATATTAGCTGTATTTATAATTATTAAATTTTGTGAAACATATCAAGTATCATCTATTTTTGTCAAAATGACATAGAGTCTATTCGTATGAATATGTGACCAAATTATATTGTGACTTTATTTATGTAATACATTTATTTATCTACAAGAATTTCCTTATCATAGGTGGTCATAAGGTTAATTTTAAATGTTGTCAATTTAAAACATTCTATTTACTCTGGAGGTTAAAATTCAACAGATAAGACAATGACATCTCTCGGGATATTTTCAGCTGTAATTTGTTTTCTAGCTGTATCAGGGTACAAACTCAAGCCAGGTAAGTTAAAAGTCGTGTGTGTGTCTTTATTCAATTTTTAAAATAAAAAAAGAAAAAGAAAAAAAAAACTTTTATGTCAGCATAGATGAGGATGAATTGTTTGCCTGTCTGTGTCTCCATCTGTGTTTGTTTGTCCATTTCTGTCTGTATTGTTTGTTTGTTTGTCCATTTCTGTCTGCCTGTCCATTTTTGTTTGTTTATCCATGTCTGTCTGTTTGTTTGTCCATTTAAGTATGTGAGTTTATCCATCTTTGTCTGTTTGTTTATCCATCTTTGTCTGTCTGTTTGTTTACCAATCTTTGTCTGTCTGTTTGTTTACCAATCTTTGTCTGTCTGTTTGTTTATCCATCTCTGTCTGTTTGTTTGTCCATCTCTGTCTGTTTGTGTGTCCATTTCTGTCTGTTTGTTTGTCCATCTATGTATGTTTGTCCATTTCTGTCTGTTTGTTTGTCCAACTCTGTCTGTTTGTTTGTCCAACTCTGTCAGTTTGTTTGTCCCTTTCTGTCTGTTTGTTTGTCCATTTCTGTCTGTTTGTCCATTTTTGTCTGTTTGTTTGTCCACCTCTTTATGTTTGTTTGCCCATCTCTGTCAGTTTGTTTGTCCATCTCTGTCAGTTTGTTTGTCCATTTCTGTCTGTTTGTTTGTCCAGCTATGTCTGTTTATTCATCCAAATTTGTCTGTCTGTTTGTTTGTCCATTTCTTTCTGTTTGTTTGCCCATCTCTGTCAGTTTGTTTGTCCATCTCTGTCTGTTTGTTTGTCCATCTCTGTCTGTTTGTGTGTCAATTTCTGTCTGTTTGTTTGTCCATCTATGTAAGTTTGTCCATTTCTGTCTGTTTGTTTGTCCATTTCTGTCTGTTTGTTTATCCATCTCTGTCTGTATGTTTGTCCATCTCTGTCTGTTTGTTTGTCTGTCTCTGTCTGATTGTTTGTCTATCTCTATCTGTTTGTTTGTTCATTTCTGTCTGTTTGTTTGTCCATCTCTGTCTGTTTGTTTATCCATCTCTGTCTGTATGTTTGTCCATCTCTGTCTGTTTGTTTGTCCATTGCTGTCTGTTTGTTTGTTTGGCCATCTCTGTCTGTCTGTTTGTTTGTCCATCTCTGTCTGTCTGTTTGTTTGTCCATCTCTGTCTGTTTGTTTGTCCATCTCTGGTTGTTTGTCTGTTTATTTGTTCATCTTCATATGTTTGTTAGTCAGTCTCTGTCTGTTTGTTTGCCCATCTCTGTCAGTATGTCTGTTGTTTGTCCATCTTTGTCTGTTTGCCCATCTCTGGTTGTTTGTCTGTCTGTGTCTTCGTTTGTCCATCTCTTTGGCAATAAAATCATTATAAGCTGGAGCCATTAAACTCTTTGAAACAACATTTCTCCATAAAAAAGACACCATTTCTTCTCACACTTGTTTGCTTTGTTGTAGACACATGGAAGTACTGAACAAGATCTTCATTTTCATTCATTGAAATTTGATCTTCAGCAATAAATAATCTTGACCTTAAAGACCATAACTTGTTGTCTTTCTTGACATACATGGGAAGTGGCTTTTTGTAGGAAAATTTTAAATTAAATAGTTATGCCTTTTAGCTTCATGTATTTTTAGTTCTGAGGCTTGAGTTATCATTTGATTGCACATAATGATTACAATGTATTATTGAGCTGACAAAAATTGCTCAAGGTCAAGGTGATTTGCAGTGAGCCAACAGTGCTAGCACAGCTTAGATTTTTTAACAATTTTTAACAAATAGATTGATGATAATGCTGTTTTTATTATACAATAAATTATTTTTGTATGACAGGAGAGGTAGCATACAAAACATGGAAGATTTCTGAAGATGTGAACAGATTCTATGTCACAGATGGAACATTCATCGTCAAGGCAACTACATCAAAATCCCTCAATGACATGTCATCTTGTAGAATGTACACAAACTTGAAGAAAGGCCAAAAACTCCTCAAAAGTGCTGATGTTACCATTGAAAACATTGGTAAATAATACTTATTATGTATTTATATATATATATGAACTGTATCAGCAGTCAAGAGTACTGGTTGATTCTTGGCTGTACCAGGTCAATTTTTCATTTAAATTTTCTTTGTATGATTTCTCAGTCATGAATTCCTTTTGTTTTATATAATTATATATGTATACCCTGGTACCATACTACTATAATACTTTGAGAGAACATAATTGAGCCGTGTCATGACAAAACCAACATAATGGGTTTGCGACCAGCATGGATCCAGACCAGCCTGCGCATCTGCCAGTCTGATCAGAATCCATGCTGTTTGCTATCAGTTTCTCTACTTGTAATAGGATTGGTAAGCGAACAGCATGGATCCTGATCAGACTGCGCAGATGCACAGGCTGATCTGGATCCATGCTGGTCGCAAACCCATTATGTTGGTTTTGTCGTGACGCGGCTCATATGCAGTTTTGATGCAAAATATCAAATTTTTAACTTTTCTAAATATTTTTAATTTGGTCAAGAGGACATATATACCTGAACTACTGGTGACATTATATAATTTTTTTAAGAGAGATAATAAAAATAAAATATGATTGTATGAGTCAGTTATATAGATAGAGGATATTGAATGGGTGTATATTTAATACTTAATTTATTGAACAATGTGTATAAAATTATAATATCATGCAAGCCTCTGGCAAGCATGGTATTGTTTTGTTTTTTTCAACAAGTTCATTAAATTTTAAGCATAAATGATGTCACTCTGCATTGTTATTACACTAGTGTAATATTGTTTTTATTAAACGGCTTGATTACATTCCTGCACCATTGTTTTATGTGATGAATGTAGCTTTATATATTAAAGATATCCCTTATTGTAGGATACATCATGTATATCATATAGGTATATCTACCTTTCAAGTCTCAAATCAATACACATGTACTTCATATTACACAATATGTTGTATGTTTTACTTGTTCATCATCATAATAAAATCTAGAGATGGATACAGATTGTAGTATTAAACTCCACTATATTATTTTACCTAGTTATTTTCAAGGTAATGGAGAATATTTCTGAATTATTACTGAATGTATCTCATCATTTTCAATGAAATATGAAATATACTTCACTATTTTGAGTGGAACATGAAATATTTCTTACTATTTTGAGTGGAACATGAAATATTTCTCACTATTTTGAGTGGAACATGAAATACATCTCATCATTTTGAGTGTAATATGAAATATATCTCACTCTGAAAATAAAATGTTTGTCATTGTCCTCTGTTTGTAAGTAACACTGTACAAATATATTGAAATGCAATGATCTACAGCTATTGTTTTTAACATAATTAACATTTTGTATTTTATGTTATATATTTCAGGTATCAATCAGATCATGTTAATGAAGCAGAAATGTAAGATGTATCACAGTGTAGATAGAAGATCTGTGGATAATAACGAGGAATTTAATCATCAGTTGGTCAAGGTATTATATTTGAATAAATTAATTAAAAAAACCTTATAGGTGATCATGTCAACTTCTTGATAAACTTTAGTTTTATAAGCATTGAAGTAAATGCAGAAAACATCATTATAGAAACATTTAGTTATTAATATAAGCTTGTTTGTGCAAAAAGCTCATAGCTTATTTGGACCATTCTTTGGCTCCCTTGAACTGACCAGTACTGGTGTCATACCAGTATGAGGAAATATTACTTCATAATAGTACCAAGTTTGACCAATAAAAGGCTTCTGGGGTGTAGCTTATTTCTTGTATTGTTAACTATAACCAACTATAAATAAAGTTTGTCTTACTTAAAAATTACTAACGGACTCAAAGCCATGAAATAGACATTTTAACCAATAGGGCACTGCTTCCCTTTGGCAATAATTTTACATGACCATCAGTATCCCTTGATACTTCTGGCAGCTTTAACCAAGCTTGTATGAATGTATATGCAAAATACCATTTTATTTCAAGTTGCTCCTCTTGTCTATTAAATGTTGTCTGACCATCATGAAGTAAGAGATAGGTGAGAAGAGCTGTTGTAGTGTACATGCACTAAGACTGATGGTTGTTTTGCATAGGTTTCCTATTCAAATATATATTTTCCTTGTGTTAAGTACCCACTGATTAAATTTTTTAATTGAATTGGAATATGTCATGATGATAAGATGTCATGATGAAGTAAAAATATAAAGATAGATTAAATTTCCATAGTAAACATTTAGATTCAACATCAAATTCACCAGATTTTCATCAAAATTGTCAAAAATGCCTTTCAATTTGAATTTTGTATAATTATAGTAGAAACAATACCATGCAACATTCCTTTCTTTAACTTAGTCTTAATCTTGATGAATGGGTATGACAATGAAGTTTTCTGTTGTAGAATAAGCCATTTAAAGGTGATTTTGAGACTGGAGCTCCTAGTGGTGCTGGTAGCCATTTTGCCATCTATCCAGGAACCAAATGGTGTGGTTATGAAAATGTGGCAGAAAATATGGAAGACTTAGGTATATAGCAGATTTTTTATTTAATGTTTATATACCAACTCAGACTAAAAGCATGACACTTCTTTGGTCATAGGGTGACTTTCCAGCTTCTCTTGTGAAGGAGAATATAAAGTGCCCCTTGGTGAAATAATTCTGCCATAAGCTGGTACCTAAGATGAATTATCATCCTCTGTTAAACTAACCAGAAAGCTGGAGATAATTCATAGTTCCTTGTAGGATTTGAATTCAAAGTTGTGACAGGCAACTGTTGACAACTTGTCTATGAAAGCCATCAGGAAATATACTGCAAGATGTAAATTATTTTACATGTATTTTATTTTATACTCCCTGGGATTTTACAGACATCAGTAGAAAGTTGGTGTGTATAATAGTTAATATTTGTTAAAATGCTGTCAACAAGAGCTTACAATAACGATTGATATAAATGTGAATATTCTTAAGCACATTTACTGCTGTATGGCATCTTATTGAAAAACTTCCATTCTAAATTTTGTCCTATACGTAAAATCAAATTTACTACCAATTTAAATCCCTGACATCTGATTGATTAATTTGTAACAGAAATTCAAGAAATTCAAGATCGACCAATAGGAACACTTGATATGGGGACTGGTTTAATGATTTTCTGTTTTATTATCTTGGAGACTGGTTCCTATGTAATTTCAGGAGTGCATAATGAGACTGATGCATGCTGCAGAACCCATGATCATTGCCCGTACTACATCGACAGGTTCGAGACCAAGTTACCATTATTTTAACCATGACCCATGGACACTAAAGTTATTGTGATTGTGACCAGCATCTATACGACTGTTTGAAGGTAATACTTTGTCCAATAGTAATTACACTATGATGACATATCAATGTTGTGTGTCACGTGTCCTTTAAAATTAAAAATTTTATGAAAAATATGTAGATGTGCCTGCATCTCATTTGATATTAATAAATTGAAATATTATTTTGATTTTTCCTTTCTAGAATATAGAGAAACCCAATAAATTTTTGCAGAGATTAATTCCTGCATTTTTGCCGAGGGTCGACATATCCACAAACATTCATATTTGCATTTTTCAAATTTCCACAACCTCTTTGGCATTCTTGTATTATTAACTCATCCAGTCTTCTTCCTTATTTTGATAAATCATAAAATAATGGAATGCAATTTTATTGATTATTTCTTAGAAAGATATTTACTTTAAATCATATAGCTTACCAAAGAATAGTAAAATTCATCAGAATTTATGTATGCAACAAATTCTTCATGGCATAAATGTTATTTTCATTGATTGCTGCAGTGGAATGTAAGACATAATTATGATCTATAATAATGAAGAATTGAAATAACTTGGATTCCTAATTTTATATTTGTACTTTAATTTTTTTAATACCCTGTGTTAAATTTTGGTTTGTTTTAAAAAAAATCTAAAAATTTTTAAAACCCTTTACAAAAAAGTGGACACACCCCCAATCAAAACCCCCGTCCGGGGAAATTTCTGTTCTTTGGGGATTATTTAGATTTTTCAGTTTTTTTTAAAGTTTTAAGGGCACGGGTGAAATATTGTCTTTTCCAAAAATTTTCCCCCAATTTTGTCCCTCTTATTTGGGTGGGGGGAAAAAGAAAAAGGGGTATAAAGGGCCCCCCATGATGAAAACACCCCAACACCAAAGGGGAGGGGACGAGACATCAGCTGACCTTTTTGGGTTTAAAATTTAAAAAATATTTTGTACTCAAAAGGTTGAAAAATTGATTAAATTTAAAAAATCGATATTGGATTTTTTTAAAATTTAAAAGTGTTTTCATTCTTTCTTTTTTATTATGAGAATCTTCTAAAACTAAGTTTCAAAGACTGCTTTTTACACAACAATTTTATTTATGTGCATGACTAAAACCAACTGATACTTCATTCTAAGGCGGCCCTGGTAGTTGCTTGGTAGTGGTACAATTGATCTCTAGATGTACATATACATTGAAGCTGCGCCATGACAAACAAACATAAGGGTTTGCGACCCAGCATGGAATCCAGACCAGCCTGGCACAGTTTGATCAGGATCCATACTGTTTGCTATCAGTTTTCTCTGTTTGTAATAAGAGTTTTAACTAGGTAGTTTTAACCGAACAAAGCATGGATCCTGATTCAGACTGCGCGGGATCGCAGCTGGTCTGGATCCCATGCTGGCTAGCAAAGCACTATGTTGGTTTTGTCGTGACGCGGCTCATATTTTATAGTACTGCACAATTGAAACATTGTTTCTCATTGGATAATTATGAAGTTTATATAATCCATATACATGGCTGCAGTTGATTTATGAATTAACGTTTTTCTCAAACAAATTGCAGTATCATAAAATTGTTACAAAGATTCAGGTTATATGGCAGTATATAAACAGATATATGCAATACAACCCTCGCCTTATGGCTTAAGTTATTTATACAACCATTTATATAAGGCCATATAACCTGTCAAAAATCTTTGTAACATAATTTTTTAACATTTGATTGGTCACTATACAGGTATAGAGATATATGTTTGGCTCCAGCATGATCAGTAATTCAAAATTTTCTTGAACCTCTTACTATGCTTAGCTTAATTTGTGGATTGCATTTGTCCTGTTCAGAATTTTGTTTTATGTTAATGTATCAAAATACTAAAATTGTACACTTTAGCGTAATTTTAAAAATGATGTCTAAATAATAATATGTAAATGTTGTAAAAAAAGAGATGTTGAAGATTTATATGAATAATTAAAGATCTCCGTTGTTTTTTATTATTTGAGAAGTTATTTAACTGAATATCTAAAAAATTAAATATTGCAATTTAAATTAACAAAAGATGTTTATGCTGGTGGTTTAGTTAATAAAGTCAGTAGAGAGAAGTATGACCTAGTTGGCTAAAAAGTGTGATTCAATCACCAAAAACTGTGATTAAGGCAATTTGAAAATGCAACTCGGTCAATTTGAACTTGATGAAATTCAGTCAAGCCTATATATATATACAAAATTGTTATGTATAGAACCAAAATTGTATTCCTGTCTTGACAGATGGTTGAATTCTCACAAACTAAAATAGGGTAAAAGGTTTTATATGAGAAATTATAGCAATAGTTTTTAAAGGTTTGTAGTTTGAAATATCATCAAATATGTTTTAACATTTTCTAAGTTAAAGGCTTATACAATACATTAAGTTATATTCTAATTAACTGTTTCTTTTCTTCAATCAATAGTCAGTCTTGGAGATGGCATACATTTATAGAGGTTATGATTAACAAGGGAGATAACAGAAGCTAAACTATGTTCTTGTTTTGTACAGAGTTGTCATTCTTAGTTTAAATTAGAGGGACTGATCAGCAGGCTAATACTAGTAGTAAATCACAATCTGACAATAACTAGTTAACCAAGCATATTTCTTTATATTGTATATAGAGGGTATTGAATGATAGTGAGTTAAAAACTGAATTTTTTGAACAAGTTAAATGCGAGCCTCTTGCGAACATAATATTATCTTATTCAACAATGAACCTCACCAAACATGTTCTACTTATTACATACCCAAAATAAAGACTGTTTAAGGTGAAAAAAATATTTTTCATTCACCTGCAACACTAAAATTTAGCGCGTCTTTATGCTATGTTTGTATAACGTAAATGACTTAGTCAAAATATATGCACGGCCGTGCACTACAGTTTTTACAGAGTCGCAAAAGCAGCTGATGATGGTTGTGTGATACCGGTAATAAGCTTTATATCTGCTGCAAATATATTTCCAAAATCCTTACATGTATTACTCAAAGCTAAGGGTGCATACACCAAATCTTTGTGAAACGAATAAAACCCTACTTAAATTATCAGAATGATATTTTGTTAAGGTACAATATCCATGTTTGTTAAATAACAGAGAAATCTATGTTACAACTGTTTCGAGAATTGACCATAAGGTTATGGAACACCAATATAATTTTACTGTAAAAATATTTCATAAGATAAAGATATACCCTTTATATGAACAATGGATTGTTCCATATTCCAACCTGGGAAAGTCCATTGTATAGATTTGGAGCTATAAGGGTAAAACTGTACACATTAATGTATTATTTGTATTAAATTTTGGTTAACTTTGTGAATGAAATAGTCTAGAGTTTCAAATCTTTACTATAACATTAAATGTTTACATTTATTCTATTATTTAAACAAATGGCAATGTATAATGTTTGTATCACCGTTATAAAATGGGTATAAATATATTTACACAATAAACACTCTATCATGATAGAGTACAAACTATCATTTTATACACCCATAGGTAAATTTACATTGTAATATTTTTTCAAATGTTCAAAAAGGGAGGGAAACATGTTTTTCAGTTATTTTTGATATATTTCAGAACACCATGGTCCATTTGCATTAAGTAAAGTTTAAATTACATGAACTGCTGAAAGAAAATATTTTTTCTGTACGAAAGTGCTAAAATTGATTTCAGATAATTCAGGTTGAAACAGTGTGGTATGGTGACCTCCCCTGTTAGTAAATAATGGACCGTCCCTGTGTCCCAATAGATAAATTAGCAGACGACACAGCATCATTGGTTAACAGGTAAACCAGCATGGTGAAATTTGTAAATAAAGGATTAAAACAGTGTAAACATGCGGAAAATACAAGAAAATAAGCAATAATATGGATAAAATTTAATGTGTGAATTATGAAAAAGAGAAAAAAATGGAGAAATATGCAAATTACAGTTCATCAACATTGGAAGAAATGGTAAAAAGTTTTAATTTTGTTTTGTCAGTATATTAGTATTTTCTTGTTTTTCTTTACGTCTGCTTTGGTTTAAGAGAGTAGTTATATGTATATATACATGTTAGACAATGAGTACAAAATACAGTTAATGGGATAAGTTTATCATCGTGATAATTAATTTATTAGTAGGACGTTTTTATACACCTAATATGTTTGTACCAACATAATATTGTATCTTTAAAGGTGTCCTAAAAGCAAAACAAAGTTTTCGTAGCTGGCATGTTTTGTCATGAAATACTATGAATATATTCGACTGCTGTGAAAAATCAATCAGTTAAATTGAATCAACAGATAGTTCAGTAGTTATACCAATTCCATCTGTATGAAAAAGTCCTTTAAATTTAATGAAGTAACCATAAAAATCAATAATTTTGTATGAAGAAATAGAGCACCTTGAAACATTAATGATGACAATAATTTATGCAAAAAGTCAAGAATACATGTATATAATAACAATAGAGATGTGGTACAAGCTTGTACTTGACTTTAACTTTATAACAAAATCTTACACTTAATTTAACAAATATTTTTAAAAAACTGAATAGAGGTCATCAAGGTCAAATACAGGTCAGTTTAAGTTGAAGGGGTTGAAAAAGGGCCATGACTTTATTGCAAAAGAAAAAGTGTATGGTTTTTTATTGTTACTTAATGTAATTTTGTTGACGGCTTAAAAATTAATTATTGGTAACATTCTGTTCCGACCGGAAAGACTTGTGGATTATCTCTGTATTAAAGCGAGGCATCAATAGGTCACCTGAGACAAAAATTGAACAGAATTTCCGTTTGCTTATAAACCATATGAATTATTTTGATGATGTAGTCATTTATAATAGTATATTTAAAGGCCAACTGCAACCTAACCTTAGTTTGTTCTGATCCATAAATAAACAGCACAGTAACAACCAATGGCAATCTGCGAGGGTCCAACTTGTAAACTATATATAGTTCGAAGTGGTAAAAACCGATTGCCATGTAAGTTTTAGTAATTTAAGCATAGAAATTTACTGTAGAGTATATTGGATAACAGAAAAGAAAATGACCCATCAAATCTTTATTTGTGTGTTTTTAATTATTTCAAATATTGTGCAAAGGGAAGTAAAACTTCCATAGCAAATTATTAAAGCAGTTCGAAAAGGATTTGTACAATTGTTTATATTTATCTGTACATAGCACTTTTACATTGAATTTTTGTGTCACCTGCTACAGGGTGGTGGTGACATATAGGGATCACTTCTCCGTTGTCTGTCTGTCCATCCATCCATCAGAAAACTTGTCCGGACTACTCCTCAAAAACTACTGGTGCAATTTCATTCAAACTGTATAGGAATGATCAGTATCAAGTCTGGTTGTGTATACCTTTGGCATTTTCTGGTTCAATGATTTTTGTCAAAGTTATGGCCCTTTAATGATTTTCATATTCTTAAGTTTTGTCTAGACTACCTCTCTTATACTACTAATGCAATTTAAATGATTAAATGAAACTTTACAGGATTGATTTGTACTTCAAGAAATTGTGCATATGAAACAGGTTTTCCGGTTCAATGATTTTTAGCTGAGCATTGGCCCTTTAATAATACAAATGATTTTTTATTGCCTTCCTGGCTTACCATGCCCCAATTGAACTGATTTCTACCAGGTGACACACATTGTTTGAATTACTCATCCCCTCTTTTTTATGTGAGAAATTTTCGTCTTCCTGTTCTGTTCTTTCTGTACCATTTGTCTATATGGCAATTTTCAGTTGAATATATTAACCGTGTTGAAAATTTGACATTGTACTTGAGTTTCTTAACCTGAAAAAAGCAACAAAAAATCAGTCAAGTTCTTTTGCATTTCATGCTTCCTGTATAATTTATAATTTTTTTTAGAAATACAAAAGACTGTAATACTGGCAGTGGTGGGGTTTCTTTAATGACCCTGTTCAATGGATGAATGCACGCAATTTTATGATTGCACATAATTATTGGAAACCTTGATAGCTCAGCATTGATTTTTATAGCCTCTACATGACAATCTTGATAGGAGGCATTTTAGTACAATGTAGCCGGTAAAATAGATCAGATAATCAAAGCCAGTGAATTTTTTTGATGACATACGAAGCTATGCTAGGCTATAAAGAAAAGAATAGAACAGTTCTGTTTCAGGTCTCCCTACCTACCTGCTCTATGTTTTAGGTTACTGCTGACAGTAGTCACTTTTTATTCCCGATATTTGATTCTTCGTTTCGCTAAAAACTTTAATGTTCTATCAATTTAATACATGTATGTTCAATTAATAAGTCTCTGAGTGTAAAATTTAGTTTGTTTACTGGAATTTGAATAAGAAACTGGGGGAACCATCAGTTTGCTTCGATATGCACGAATTGGGCCGGGACTGCCTTAGTTTGCACTTACAGCCGTCCAATGAAAGCATAGGGCCCCTTGCAAATGAAAAAAATGGGTGAGCAAAGTTTAGTGTTTTTCCAACTGGTTTTAGAAATTATTCAAGGAAACAACTTGTAGGCAGTAGGTAAATGTTGAAAATGTCAACTACCAACAGTGCAATGAGTTACATCCCTATGAAGTCTGACAATACATATAGAACAGGTACTAGAGGGCTATGGATGTATGGTGTTTGCATTTAAGACAATGAAAAATATGATGTACTAGTATTCCATTTCTCCTCCATTTTAGCAAATTTTAAGGGAGAAAGGGTTTGGGTAAATTGTGGGGAAAAAAGGGTTTTGTAAATTTGGGACAGAAACCCTGTAACCAGCTGAAAATTAAACCCCTACAAATTTGGGTTTTTGGGGGGAAGGTCTTTAAAAAATATTTGAAATGTATTAATTAAGAAAATTTTAACATATTTTTTATGGTAATTCCACCCTAAAAATTTAAATAAATAATTAATGTAAAATAATATAAAAAATCAAACTCTATAGAACAAAGTTTTACCATTCAATTAATCAAAAGACCAGGTATGTGATATTTTATCAATAACTACCAGTAAATTTAAAGGACTTGAAACTTTAAAGGAAATGAACGGCTCAATTGACAAAGCCTGCAACTGTCAAATGATATGGTTGCCATCTTGAGAGCTATCTGATTAAAGCCTTAATCTTTAAAGCACCCCTTAAGGTCCGCATTATGCCTAGAAAACTGAAACTTTTTTTCTTCTTCTTAGAAAAGGCAAATAAATTGAATTTTAAAACAATAATCATATGCTTAATTCTTGTGAAGTAAAAGTTTGGGGCCAATGTGTGAAATAAAAAAAAAGTGGTTTTATTGAACATTAATTATCAGATGGTCTCCTAGCAGTTACTATTTACCAAAAATAGAAAGAGCGCTAAAGAAAAGTTTGCTTTTATACCAACAAAAGATTATAAATGTGGGTTCTTTTTTTATTGTATGCTAAGATTTTCAAACAATTTTTCAACTGTTTTAGATATGTATTGACAAGCTTGACCTGATTTATAAAGGATTGTGAGTGAAAGTTTACTTGCAGATCAGTCTTAAATTGTATTCACATTAAGTTGTTAATTGATTCACGAGTAAGGAAATTAATTTGATGGAGAATAGAAACATTAACCTTAGCTAATTTACCAACTAATTAAAACAGGTACTTACAATTTTTCTATAATTTATTACAGAGCTAGGATTTTAATGAAACATAAGTAATTAATTATGTATCATAGTATGTTTATTGTTCAAAATAGAGGGACATTTTTATCCTGTAATTTATTAAGTGTATTACTAAGTTCTTTCCAATTATTATTATTAAATTTCAATGAAGATTTAAGAAAGTGTGAACTTCTGGAGCTGTGCACATTAAATTAATCAGTTTACGTCAATCAATGTTTATTGGGAGGGAAGATTTGGTAACAACTTAACATTATGCCTGCTAATCCTTTACTTAATGTAATACCCTCTTAAATATAGAAAGTTCATATTAACTGTCAAAGATTTAACATTTTCTAAATACATGTTGTGACTTAAGTTAAATAAAGTTATTTAATTCAGTATTTTCTGACCAAAAACTAATGGTCATTTATTTCAATGAATTATTTCAATGAATAATGAAATGAAAGGTTACTTTATCAAATTGTTATATTCTGCATTGGAATGAGGGAAAAAATACCTACAAAACATTATTCATGTATTGTTTTCTTTGATAATACACTTTGGATAATTTTTGTTTTGATTTAGAGTTGTAGTAGTGATTTTCATACAGTGTCATGGAAAAACTGGAATGTGGTAAAAGACTCTTTAAGAAAGAGGTGTAAAAATGTTTGTAAATACATGTGTAAAGTTTAAAAGTTGAAAAGTTGACGAAAAGATTAAACAGTGAGTGTCAAATTAAACTTTTATAGACTTCTCAGGATTAATTTCTCACCGAAAGTGTGACTTCGGATAATCGAGGTAAAATCTCTTTTATAAATATATGTTTTTAAGTTATAATACATAACAAAGTATAAAAATTATTGTAAAACTGAAAAATCTTCTTGCACTGACTGGTGTTTGAACCCCAGACCTTTCAGTTTCTAGGCAGACACTCGACCAGTATGCTCTTAACCACATTATTAAACGGTTGCTTTTGTGACAGCAATGCTAGGTGATGGGTATGAGTCGAAAATTTTTTGATAAAGTGGTTCTTTTCCCCCATTAGATGGAACAACATCTTTGTGGTTCAAAGTAAATTTAAATCCCCTTGGGGGAAGGGGGCTAAAGACATACCCAAAATTAGAAACCCCCAATCTAAATTTTTCAGAAAACTCTAAAAAGAAAGAATAAAAATATTCATAAGTTGAAAGGTATGTTAATTTTGTTATTATTATTTAAAAGAAGAATGGGGGAAATTTATAACTCAGATAAAAGGTTAAAAATTTCAATGATAAAAAATTGTTTAATGGGTAATAATAATTTAACAAAATTATATAGATATGAATTTAACGCCTCATGTTTTGTATTACACAGAATTTTAAA